CCTTGTCCCTCTTATTTTGAGCCCTGAGCCTACAGACCAGCCAAAGAAGCAACAACAGTCCGCAGCAAATGGCTGCGCCAAATAATCCCACCCCACCCATTCTTTAAAGTAGGAAACAGCAGAGGCGATCCAAGATGACAATCCCTCCGTCAGAGACAGATCCAAGCGCGTAGAGTTGACCTGGATAATAGCAGTTCTCAGCTCCCGAAGCGTTTGCTCAGACTCAGAAGTCCAATTCTGTAACATGAACTGAGAAAGACTTTTAGACAAATTAGCTGCTTTGGTAAAATTCTCATATTGGATGGAGGTGATACATAGGCCTGGGAGTTTCTGCTCGCAGCCTAGTTGGGCCATCTGCCACAATATGTCCAATTGCTCCTGCACTAAATCAATGTGCTGGTTTAGTAGCATCAAACCACCCTGTATTTGGGTGTTTGCAGAGGCCTGTTTGTCCAGGGCTTCGGACACCGTGGCCGATAGGCCATTGATAGCCTGTGCCGTTTGCACCGTGTTGGACAATGCGAGGGCAGAAGCTGTAACCGCCGCCGTGACTGCAGTAGTGGCCACGACGGCAACAATTATTGCAGAAATCCCAAAATCTCTCTTTGTTCTGAAAAGCGTCATACTACTAGGTGCTTCCACAGGGACAGGTACAAACCGCGGCATGCGAGTCACTACAGCTAAAGGGAATTTTACAGCATCCCAACACAACGTGTAGTAACACCCTCCTGATTTGTAATCCAATTTAGAGCCATTACTCTCATTAATAGTCTTATTGCTTACAATCCAAATAAAAGGAAGCTAAACATACACCAGTGTGGGATCATAATTTGTATGTATGAAGGATTGATATTTTATGTCACTGGCCTTCCAGCTGAATGACCCAGAGCTATGGCCTGACTGAAGGGCGCTGCCAACAGACCCTTTCCAGTCAAACTCCGGCTGCCCTTTTTCACCTTTACCCCCTTTAATCATTGCCATAGGTGTAAGGTCAGTGCAGCTTCCATTAATGCCACAAAGCAGCCATTGGTCAAACGGGTTAAGGTTGGATCGCATAGGATCTAGGGATGTGAAGTTAATTCCCATACCCATATTGGGGGAAAAGGAAAAGAAGCCTTCAATAGCCCAAGCAGAGCCCCTGGACTGGCACCCAGCCCAGGGTAAAGTCAATTCTTCAGTTTGCTCCCCTCTACAAAAGGGGGCTAATTTTGGCTGACGGGGTGGAGCTGTGGAGATATTTACCACTGGGAAGCGTGGCCACCATCCATAAATTACAGAGGCATTAGCCATAACTATACCTCCAGTTCCCCAGGTGGTCTCCTTGAGCCATAACTATACCTCCAGTTCCCCAGGTGGTCTCCTTGAGCCATAACTATACCTCCAGTTCCCCAGGTGGTCTCCTTGAGCCATGCCGAGGATTGATTGCTTAATAAAATGCAAGGCATATCAGCAGCGCTTTGGTCAACTGCTGAGAAACAAAGGCTTCCTTTAAGAGAAATTGTTCTATTTTCACCAAGCTCCTGAATCTGTTCATCTTTAGCCAGGAAAGCTAGGCCCAGCTCCTTATTAGTGGCAAAAAATCGGGGGAAAACCTGCGCATTATATATCACGGGCATCGGAAGTGGGAACGTTGACATGATTCCCCAACGCGGCTCCCCCTGGACAGCTGGGGTTTTGATCATCATCAGTAACACAAGGAGGAGCAGCTTACTCCCCCTTTTCATGCGTCTGGTCTGCTGCATCCTTCTGCTCCATGACTGTCCTGGTAAGTCTTTCAGGGACCCAGAAAGGGTTTTCTCCACTCTGTGGGAAAATACAAACAGCTCCCCTGGATCTTATTAGAATAGGATCCGGGCCTTTCCATTCATTGGTTAACACATCTTTCCATTTCACCAGTTCCTTGGTTTGATGTGGGTCTGAGCACTGCCGCTCTGCTGCAGTCTGACCATACTCATCTAAGTTTAAAAAACTTAATGGTGAAAAGCGCCACTGCTATGGCAACTCGTGGCACTGGGGGTAAATCCTTTATTATTCCCCATCTTTGTTTAATTCAATATGATTTGAGCGTGCGATGTGCGCGCTCAATGATGCCCTGCCCTTGAGGGTTATATGGCAAGCCCGTAACATGTGTGACTTGCATTTGTGCATAAAACTGTTTTTCTGAGAAGTATATGCAGGTCCGTTGTCAGTCTTTAAGCATTTAGGTTTTCCCCAGGCACTCCATGCCTCAAGACAGTGTTGAATCACATGGGAGGTCTTTTCTCCAGTGAGTGGTGTGGCATGGAGGACATCAGAGCAGGTGTCTATTGATACATGTACATATTGGAGTCTTCCAAAGGAGGGAATATGAGTAACATCCATCTGCCATATTTGCAATGGCAAAATCCCTCTTGGATTTACTCCGGTGTGACGGGTGGGGAGAAATTGACAGCAATTATGACACTGAGTGACAATATCACGTGCCTCTTTCCTGGTAAGAGAGAAGCGCTTGCGTAGGGTCTCAGAAGTAACATGAAAGTTGTTATGGAAGGCCTTAGTGGCTTGCAGCGGGGAGACAAAAACCGCCGCAGCCAATCTGGTGGCTCTATCCTTGGCTCATTGGGCCAGGAAGTCCAGAATGAGCCCTAATATGTGTAATGTACATGGGAGCCTGTCTGGTTAACAAACAATCTTGTAATCCTTGGAATAGAGATGTCATTCTGCTAGTGGATCTAATGATCCTGGCAGGTTCCAGTAAGTTTACAGCATTAACCACATAGGAAGAGTCAGAAACAATGTTAAGAGGACCTGGGAATTTTTGAAGAACTTCTAATACCATCAAGCAATCCACCACTTGAGGGGAAGTCTCGGCATATTGTCGTGAGAACACCTGGGTACCCACCACATAAGCTCCCAGGCCACTCTTGGAGCCATCTGTATACACCACCAATCCATTCTTTAGCGGGGTATGAGAGGTGATCCGGGGAAATACAATAGGATGAGACGCAGCGAATTGCAGCAGAGGGTGTTTAGGGCAATGATTGTCAATTTTTCCCAAAAAGGTAGTGACTAATATGTCCCAATCATCAGAAGCGGCGGCCAATGTCTGTACCTGAAAAGAGTTGTAGGGAACAATTAAAAATGTGGGATGTCTGCCAAAATGATTGACAGCGGCTTTTAGACCCCTAAGGGCAAGCGGAGCTATTGCTGCAGGGTACCAATCAATAACCTTTTGCGGGGAGGCATGTGGATGGACCCACAATAAGGGTCCACCCTGCCAAAGCACTGCATTGGGTAGTTTCCTTGTATTGAGCATGCAGAGGGAAAAAGGTTGTGATGGTTCAATACGACATAGCTGTGCTTCCTCAATAGCTTCCTCCAGTGAACGGAGGGCTGCCTCTGCAGCGGGTGTCAAGGACCTGGGGGAGGTAATATGGGCATCCCCTTCCAGAATGTCAAACAGGGGCTTCAAATCTGCAGAGGGGATCTTTAGGAATGGCCGTAGCCAATTTATATCTCACAATAATTTTTGAAAGTCATTCAAAGTATGCAAATCGCCTCTATATATTTTTATTTTCTGCGGGAGGATTTTGTCCGGGAACACCATGGATCCTATAAAGTGCCCAGTATTGGCAATTTGGACCTTCTCTGTGGCAATCTGGAGGCCCCAGAACCGTAGATTTTTAAGCAGTAAGGGATAGGCCTCCTGAAGGACGTTTAATTCCTTATGACACAGGAGTACATCATCCATATAATGCATGACAATCAAACTAGGATACTGTCTTCTGATGGGTCTAAGAGCCTCCTGTACATATAATTGACAGATGGTAGGGCTGTTTGCCATGCCTTGTGGCAACACCTTCCATTGATATCGCCTGTCAGGCTCCTCATGATTAATGGCGGGAATGGTGAACGCAAAGCGAGGTCTATCTGGTGGATATAATGGAATAGAAAAAAAACAATCCTTAATGTCTAGAATAATTAGGTCCCAATTTTTGGGCAAAGCAGAAAGCACTGGAAGACCTCTTTGCACTGCACCCAAAGGATGCATTTGCCTATTAATGGCTCTTAAATCATGAAGTAGGCGCCATTTGCCTGATTTCTTTTTAATAACAAAGATTGGAGTATTCCAAGGAGAGGTAGATGATTCTATGTGCCCCAATGCCAATTGTTCTGCCACAAGGCTGTTTACTGCTTCTAATTTTTCAGAGGTCAATGGCCACTGGGGAACCCACACCGGGTCCTCCGTTCTCCAAGGTATGGGCCGTGCTGCCCCAGTAGCGCCTAGGAAAAACCCAGGCCCTGTCTCCCTGGATTTGGGTCAGGGGATATGGGTTCTACCCGTCCTTGTTTTAAGTGTCCCAACCCCTTTCCATGTTCATACCCCATCTTTTTCATAATATTGACAGCTTGCGACGAGTATTCATTAGATAATACGAGCCCCAAGCCTTGCAGTATGTCACGTCCCCACAAATTAACAGGGAGGGGAAGCACGTAGGGGGTAAACTGTCCCTGATGACCTTCCTCTGATTTCCATGTAAGCATAGAGGAGCTAATAGTGGGGTGGGAGCTATAGCCTAGCCCCTGTAGGGAATGTGATGACTCTGTGACCGGCCAGGATTTCGGCCACCAATGAGAGGAGATGATACTCTGATCTGCTCCTGTGTCCAATATGCCTTCAAATCTTTTGCCATTAATCCAAAGTAATAGCCTTGGCCGATCATGAAGTTGAACAACTAGATAAGCAGAGTCTGACCCTGAAGAGCCCATCCATTTATTTCCCGTACCATAGTGAGGGTCGCTTGGAAGGAGCAGTAATTGAGCTATCCTATGCCCTCGGTTGATGGAAAATATCCCATTTGGGCTGGAGCATAAAACTTGGATCTCGGGGGAGTGTTGATCGTCAATAACAACTAGTCCCTGTAATGTAAGCGACCCTCTACCGAGAAGGAGCCCTATAGTCCCCTCTGGTAATGGTTTTGGGGCTAGAACGGGAATGGGTTGAACCCCCATCTGAGGCATTAATAGGAAGTCGGAGGCGGCACACAAGTCCATTCTTGTTCCGACTCCTGAGGGGTCTCGTTTATCATCCTGTTGACTCTGTTCCCATATTTTGGCGGGCCCTGGAACCGTGGGCCCGATGCCCCATTTTTTTGGAACCTCATTTGTTGGTGCTTCTATGGGGAGGAGAACCCTTCCCTTTATATCCCGTACCAAGTGGCACTGGGCAGTCTTATGGTATCCTTGCTGCAACGAGTGCAAAGTGTTGGTGGCTCTCTTTCCCTGTCAGGCATCCTACAATCTTTTCTTAGATGCCCTGCCTTTCTGCATTTAAAACAGGTTCTTTTATCTGGCCCCTTAAGGGGGCGCTTTTGAGACTGTAGAATTGCCGCAGCTAACCCCGCATTAGTGAGGGGTCCCCCGAGTTCTCTACAGACCCTAAACCAATCCTGTAATCCTTTGTTCTTTCTCAGGGCTATAGCTGCACGACATTCCCGGGTGGCCTGTTCAAAAATAAGTTGCTCAACAAGAGGTGCAGCCTGCTCGGGATCACCAAAGATTCGCCCTGCTGCCTCTGTCATTCTTGCCACAAAGTCAGAGAAAGGCTCCTGAGTCCCTTGAATCATCTTTGTGAGTTGGTTGTCTGCCCCTCTTTTCCTGGAGAGTGCCTTCCAGGCCCTAATAGCCGTGCTGGCAATCTGTGGGTAAGCACCCCAATGATAATTGGTCTGATTAGCCGCAAAATGACCCTGGCCTGTAAGCATGCCAAATGTCCACAACTGTTGTTCAGGTGTCAGGGCTGTCGCATTACCTCTAGCCTGCTCTTGGGCAGCCTCATGCCAAAGTGCTTTCCATTCCATATATTGGCCCATGCTGACAAGTGCTGCCTTCGCTACCATCTGCCAATCAGAAGGCGTTAGGGCATTCATGGCAACTCTATCTAGTTGTGCAAGAGTAAAATTGGCCGTAACTCCGTATTTTCTGACTGATTCGGCCAGCTCCTTTATCTGATTGTATTCTATGGGTGCATGCAACCGCTGTGTCGCATCAACGCCTTCGAAAACAGGGAAAGGGAGGCGCATTCTGCATTTTACCTTTTCTGGAAGAAAGCAAAACGACTTTGGGCATGTCTCATACGGCGGAGGTGCCGAGGGAACCACTTGTGAGGGGACTGTTTGAACCAGCCGCCTCCGAGGTGTTTTGTTGTTATGTATCTGGTCATCTGGATGGTATCTTTCTTCCTCATACTTGGCAGCTTCCTCTTCCAGCTCTGCTTCCTCCTCAGTATCTAAACCCTCATCCTCTGAGCTGTCAAAGTCATCAGAACTGTCAAGATTTAAGGCTTCAAGCTCTTGCACAGGGTAGAAGCCAGCTCCTCCCTTTGGTTTAACAGCAGGGGGAGGATCCCCGTGATCTGGCTGAAACACCCCCTTGTCACTAGACTCACCGGGGGGGGCTTTTTCCTTCTTGTGGACGATTTTCTTTTTGCACGCGCCCAACCTCTCGCTATGCTCGGTTTCTGACATGCTATCCTGGACCTCCTCAAGGGTACTTCAGCCCTTTGCTACGGCGCCCCTACAGGCTTCATCTTGTAAACAATCTTTAACAAGTTTCCAAATGGCTTTTGTGCCCTGCCTCAAATCTCCATCTGCTAATTTATAATCGAGATATTTGCCTAATTTGTTCCATGAGGCGAGAGTCAATGACCCGGAACAAGCATACCAGGGGGCCACCCAATTAATTTCCTTAACGAAATTTTTCAAAGTCCGATGGGCAATCTTTATATCCCATTGTCTTAGCACTGTGTCTAGTGCGGTAATGACCGACTGCGAGGAGCCCATGATGAATTAGCACCCGTGGCTTATGTACGTCTGGGTGCGCTGAAAATGAAAGTGATGTTTTTGCGCGCAGCTCCTTTATCTACAAGAGACTGACATGCTCCCCAAGGCGCTGCCACTTATCTACATCGGTCTTGCTGCACCTAGCAATGCCAGCGATGGTAACAAAACAGGATAGCGACAAAGATCAAAGTGGCCCCAAGGACAAGCACTAAAGCCTCAACACTTCCGTCCCAAGGAGGCAACAGTCCTAAGCCAAAGTCCAGAAAAAACATACCTCTCCAGATGTACCTGCCTGTAGTTCTGAATCCTCCTTGCAGTCAAGGGGTCTCCGATGGTGCTGACGATGATGAGGTCTCGATTCCCGGGTTTCGGCACCAGTTGTCCCGCTCTACCGTCTTGCCATCAAAAACGATGCTGCACACTCAGGATCCTTCTACAGTAAAGCTTTAATGCGTCTGAGAGGGAGAGCATAAGCTTACAGAGCGGAGACCCCAAACACATAAAACCCCTTCCTTATATAGGCCAGCAACCTTCGCCTGGGACGTGTCACCCCCTGACTGGCTGTTGCTCATCGGCCCATGTAACGCCTCGGGAGAGGCAGGGACCCAGGGATGGAAAATTACCCAGCGCATGCGTATTCTGTTTGTCTACCAATGGTACCTGCCGGATGCAGGCACCATCTTATAATGGAGAATGCAGGAGTGGCTCCCTACAGCTCCTGGCAATTACATGGTTGTTTTTGCTGGCTGCCCAACTCATTCTCCTTGGGTGGCTGTTGGGGAGTCCTACCCACCAGTCCTGTCAGATAGGCTTGCAAGAAGAGGCTTGTCCATCTGCCCAGTGGTATTTATGGGTGGGCTCTTCAAGGAATCTCCTCACTTGGGATTGAGATGTAAGTTGTTGCAAGTTACAGAATCCCCCCTTGCTGTATGCCACTGTAATGTGTTCAAACATCTGATGCTCTGGGGTGAGTTATCATTGGGAGCACTCATTTGATACTGAGTAGCCTGGATACTCCATTACACATGGCTGGACTCAGGCCTGGCCATGCAGTGTTAAAAGAAATCCACTTTGAGGTTGCATACATACCCAGGGCTGAAAGAATAATCTTCTCAAGTCCTTGGCATTCCTACTAACACAAGCTGCCACCTCTCCATCCCAAATGACCATTTCCTGAGCTGACTTATCATCCACCTTCCTTTTGCTTCCTTTTCTGTCCCATGGGCTTGCTGCCTCTTTCCCAAGGTCCTGCTCCCCTCTGCAGAAGCTCCCTCCTCCACCAGGCTCTGGGACATTACAAAGCCTGGAGGTTGCTGCCATGAGGGGTCTGCTGCCATGTGTCCTGGACAGAAGCTGAGTGGGTTGTGGGCTTTTCCTGAGGTCAAGGTCCCTGCCCAGGGTGAGGAAGGTCAAGTGCCCACAGTCTTGCATCCGTGGTCATGCCTTAGCCACACTCTGGTCTGTGGTTGAAGACAGCATGGCGCAGTAAGTCTATCGCTGTCCTGGCTCACCTCTCCCTTCACTCCCATGGCTCCTCAACCCTGTACCACATTGGCTGTGGTCCAAGGTGCAGGGTGGGTTCAGTAAGAAGTGAGTTCCTATTTCTGGACTGGATGAAGAGTTGGGATTGTAATCAGTGGGTGCTATTTGTACCTTGATTTTCATCCCTGCCTTTAGTCTCACCAAGCCATAGAATTCCCTCCTGAGATCTTTCCACCTTTTGGATAAAAACACCAACCAGACATTGGAACTCATCTGCCACTATCAGCCCTCATCTTCCCATCCTGGCTCAGGGAGGAGCTCTGTCGGTCTTTGGAGGAATAGGTCCAGGCTGCTAGCAAATGAACAGCATCTACACAACTTTTATCCAGATGTGTATTATAAGATGATCTCAGCACTTTGACTGTTAAACAATTGTACAAAAGTGCTCTTGGTTACCCCATTGTCAAGAGCAGGGGAGAAGCCTTCTGAAGTGCTTGAGGCTTGGGCCCCTGCCTGTGGGCTTTCAGGGTTCATGTCTCAGAGGACTTCCCTGGACAGTAATCCGTGTACAGTGTCTCACCATCTCTTCATGATACCCATCATGATACTGGAACTTGGGGAGGACATGGCATTGGAATAATGTAATCTCTGGCATATCATGGAAATATTAAGTGACACAAGGTAGTGATGCCATATATTTATTTAGGCATAAATCACTTACATAAGAAGCTGAAAACCCGAGGTCAGCGCTCTGCTGCTCTCTGAGACTGGACCAGAACCCAAAGAAAGAGGGTCTTCTTTCCCCCATCTCTTTTATCTCCCGTACATTCTAGGTTTCTGTGTGGTCAACGCTGTGGGTTGGTAAGATCTCTCCTTACCAGTCTTCTTTTAGTCTAAAGAAAAGAGTTAGACTTAAAACTGAATTTTTAAAAACATATATAAAGCATATATACAAAGAAGATGATAAACAAATTTTAATCCACCTATATCCTCTCCTAAGTATATCTATCCCATCTAAACCCTAAACTAGGCTGAAAGAGATGCCCAGGTCTGAACACCTCCTTTCAATCCCAACGCTAAACAACTGAAAGCTAACTCTAAACAGATGTAAATTATCCTGTAATGTCAACAGTAGGGAAAGGGGCCTAAGCATTCTCAGAATGACTTCCTGATGAAATGGAATGACAATAACCTCATGGGTTCATGTAAGAAGAAAATGTTAGTGTAGTGAACATCTCGAGTGGACTAGCTACAACATTTTTACCCAGTCTCTGTTTGGAAGGAGACACCTGATTGAAGTTGTTGTCTGAGGCTCTGGCCTCAGAAGGTGTCCCTTATCAGTTTATTATTCTGGAGTTTGTAGAGCAATGTAGTCCCAAACTGGTTTCAGGGTTGTACTCGTCAGTTCAGATGCATCTGATCAGGTGGAGATGATGGAGTGAAGCCCCTTTATCTTAACAGAGTGTTTGAAGATTGCTGTTAGGAAATTCTTTGTTCTCTGTGGAAAACTCAAACATTAATGTCAACAACGAAATTTCAACTTTTTATGTATGCATACCGGGAAAGACAACAATAAAGAAGACTCTGAGGGAAATTAGTCTTTCAGAGAAAGAACCGAGTATAAGCAGATGACAGTCCCTAGATTTTGTTTTCTTCAGAGTTGAGAGCAGTAGCAGATTAGAAGCATAAAACCATTTCTATTTTATGGTGCACATATTTTAAACTTGCAAATTCTGGAAAGTAAAACACATCCATTTGCAAATTTTATTTCTGTGATTAACTTTGGGATTAATTTCTGCTGGTAGTGGCATTTGATTATAGAATAAACAGGTGGGGCATTTTCTTACTATTTTCTTGGTTTATTGCCAAATGATAGAAAAATCCTATAAGCCTTTGCTATAGCCATGGCGTGTATCATAGCATTCTGAAACTTCTAGCCAACTACCTATTAGGAAATGATCAATCTCATCATTACCTTGACCTAGTGGACCTGGCAGGATGATGTGTGTTATGTATGTAGGATGATTTTTATTTCTGATAGCTTGTTGTTATTGTATAAACAATGAGGTTAATTTCGTATACTGAGGAATAAATTCAGCAGTCTCAATGTGTAAGACGACTGTCTCTGCATAGTGAGAGTCGGTAACTATATTGAGGTTCTGGAAAATCCATAAGTACCATGAGAATGGTGTACAACACTGCCCTTTGTACAGAGTTGTAAGGGCTTTGAACTACTTTACTTTTATTTCCTGACTCATAACCTGCTTTTCCTGACTTGTGTGCATCAACGTAGAATGTAGGGATTCCAGAGATAGGCATTTTTCTTAAAATACGTGGAAGGATACAAATAGTTTTCTTTATGAATTTGATTCTCTCTCCTTGGGGATAATTGTTATTAATAGTTCCCAAAAAGTTACTGAAATCCCTTTTGACAATATTAATTATCCTTCCTAAGGAGGAAATTCCATTTATTAAACGTACTATCATTTCTGTTGGGTCCCTTCCAGCTAGTTGACAAAATCATAATTAGTTTTAAAATCAAATCAGAGATCTTTTTTGTATATGTGTTCAGTTTTTATTCTGATTATTTGGCAAAAATAGCCATTCTAATATGTTGTCTTCCCTCTGCATCAAAATCCCTGAGAGGTATTCCCTAGATGGTAAAATGACAAAATAGTCTCCACTTGTGGATCCACCCAGTCCACATGTGCTTCTAGTATTCTCTTGTCTACCTATTCTCATTATTTTTTAGCCTCAGCTGATAATAATCATGTACTATTTAAGTCCTTGTCTCCGTTAGAGACATTTTTGGGTGTTTTAAATCATGCCCTTCTACTCCAATAATGGTCTTTAGTTGAGAGCCTACTAGTTTTTGAACTATGTTAAGAGTCTGGTAATGATCTCTCCTTCTTTGTACTTTTTGTGGTCTAATTTTTTGTAGATCTATTTAATACCCTAAATAATTAAAAGAATCTCCTCTTTGTATTTTTTTCCAGTGGCAATCTGTAATCCCAACGATGTAAAATTTCCTGCCTCAAAAATCTTTCCCAACATTCCTTCTTTTGAACCAGCTAGCAGTATGTCTTCATATAATGGTTGATTATGGATTGTGGGAATTGTTTGCGATTTTTTTCAAAGTTTTTTGCACAAAATATTGGCATAGAATAGAACTGTTTAACATTCCCTGTGAAAAAACCTTTCCC